GGTCTACAAAAGTGTATTTCATAAAAAATTTCCAATTCGACTTCTAAATGGGTCAAAACTGACCTGGAAGTCGCACCAAAAATCTGTGAACAGTACGAAGGAAACCTGATTTTTTCTGAACAGAAAATATCGGGTTTTGCTCGATTTTCTTGCCCTATAAAAACCTAATGTCGTCCCTTTAGCATTCATTTCACCCCTCCAAACCCTAGGAACCATTTTAGAGGAAGAGAGGAAGATAGAAATACCAATCAAGAGGGATTTATACATTGTAGAAATCAAAACTTCAAATTCTTCAAGAATACATTCTCCTCCCATTTTCTTCCATTCTTGCTACCCTCTCACCCAAATATTTTGAAACCCTAGGAGGAGAAGATTAAGAGGAAAAGAAAGGAGAGGAAGAAGGTCTTGAAGCTTGGGTCTTAGCTTGGAATCTTGATTTAAGGTAGGGGATTTTCTCTCAATCTCTCACATTGAGGCTAGATATATATATATAGATATATATATATGTATATAGATATATGTTTCTTCACTCTCCTTCTCATATATAATACGAAATACATGATTTTTGTTCTATTTGTAATAAATGTCATGTTTTGAACAATATGAAGGGTGGGTAACCACCAAAGCTCTATTGATTTTTTTTTATCTTCAAAGCCCTAGTTTTCAAGAAAAGGGGATTTTCTCCTAATTTCTTCTTTGTCTTTGATTTTAAAACTTTAGTGTTGAATATTGTATAACAAAATGATATAGATTACGATCTCTTGCATATTTTCTTGGATTATTCGATTATATGACAAATGTGAAAACAAAATTGGGGATTTTACTATATTTGAGAAATTGTTGTGAATTGTGAATATTCTTGATTTCCTCATTGTATGGTTGTTGTGATGGACTTGGATTACCTTCGAGAGATGCCGTAGAGTGTTAGAGGTTAGTCTATCCCAATGGGGGGTGAGATGGTTGCCTAATGCTCGTAGTGGATCGTTGTTGTGCTCGCGATCACTATTGTTCACATATACACCGAGGAAAAGGGTTAGTATACTAGACACCTTGGGAGAATTTCGTCAATGTCGTAGGAGACGGTACACGCCCTTCCTAAAGAGATTTGTGATTGTTGGTTGGAATTGGTGGACTAGGCATGATCATTAGGTAGATTCACGAGAAGCAATCAACATACATGGTACGGGGATGAACCAAAAATACATGGAATCGGGAGTTGGGTCGTTCTTGCCGATGCATTGGTATGGGACAATGCTTAGGGAGAAGCCCTTCTTAAATAGCTTAAATTAGAATTTTGTTTATCGATGCTAAACTCACTTTATTCTTTTAACTGATTATTGCTATTGTTTAAACTTGAGATCTCTTTTAAAATGTCACTGTTTTCATTCCAAACCTATATATATGTTAGTTGTGAAATGAGACCGACCGTTTGCTATGTTTTTCAAACCTTGTTTGAGTTGAGCGGATTTTACTACAGAGCTTCGTGCTCACCCCCTACAAATAAAATTTTTTCAAATTTCACACTTGAGGAGGAGTTAGGAGCCGAGGAGCCCACCCATTGGAAGACTCTGCTTGACGGGGATGTGAATCCCGAGGTGGACGCTTAGAGCGACACTTTTATTTTGTTCTAGACTAGATTATGCTTAAAATATCCTTTTGAACTCTAGTTCATTTCTGTTATTTTCGTTGCGTTATATTATTACATTTTGGAGATGTAAAGGCCAAGATTAGACTTATTAATTTGGGATGATAGTGTGGATATGACATATGATGAATGCAAGTTTATTTTATGATGGAAAAATGGACCCGGTGTGGTCAATAATTATGCATATGTGGACCCGGTGTGGTCAATTGTAATATAATTGTACAGGTTGTGTTTTGGGTAGAGTTCCCCGTACAAAGAAGACTCTGCCCAAATTTTGTTAAAATATGAATGGTTGATGAATGAAACTTTCGTCGTGATGAATTTTACTTAATGCTCTCATACGGTAAATGATTTTTAGAATGTAATGTCACCCACGGGGGTTTTTGGGGCGTTACAATCAAATAAAAAAGTAAACTTTTGCTACCATAAAATTATCTAATTTTAGTTGCCCCATGTAATGAATTTTAGTTGCACCATGTAATGAATTTTAGTTGCCCCAAGGTTTTCAATGATTAAATAAAACATAAACCATTAGCAAAGACAAGAAATAAAGCATGAGACAAGCGGAGCACTTGGAAAAACAGAATGTCACTCAATTAAATAAACATAAATAATCAGAAAATATAACAAGTAGATTTGGTCCCTAGTGCATTAAACTTCAATAAATGTACCAAAAATAAACCTTTCATTTTTCATTGCTGCCGGTGCACCCACTTTTTATGCCAATAAATATACACAGTTGTAGCTCAAACCAACCGTTGCACTTATTTTTTATGCCAATAAATATACACAACTGTTATTCAAGTATGAATATAAAGAATCAAGGAAATTTAAAGATTTATATAATAATACACACACACACACACATATATATAGATAAATTAAATGAAAAAAGGGTAGTATAGACAATAATAGTTGTATTAAGATTATTATAGTGAAACAAAAGTTTTTCACTTTTGTTGATATTTTATAGTAGTATAGATTTTTGCCTATTAATAGAGCCCACCTTCATATTCTCGCCTAAGACCTCTGAATTTGTTGGGCTGCCCCTGGGTGCACCCACTTTTTTATGCTAATAAATATACACAATTGTAGCTCAAATCAACCGATGCACCCAACTTTTTATGCCAATAAATATACACAGTTGTTATTCAAGTATGAATATGAAGAATCAAAGTATTTAAAGATTTATATAATAATACACACACACACACACATATAAATTAAATGAAAAAAAGGATAGTATAGACTTTAGTAGTTGTATTAAGGTTATTATAGTCAAACAAAAGTTTTTCACTTTTGTTGACATGTTATAGTAGTATAGATAGATATGACGGTGGCGGTGGCGGTGGCAGTGGCATTATGTAAATAAAAATAGATGCGTATTAATGTTACTTAATTACTTTTGAAATATAGAAGAGATTGGTGAACCACATACTGTTGTATATAAATTTCTATATAAAGTTTTGTTTTTATAGCATTAATATTGCCGAAATTGCAAAGGGGACTGCAATTTCATCACACTCACTTAACTATATTCCTAACGTATTGTTTTGATGCTGTGCTGAATATGCTGCTTGCTTGGGCTAATGGGTTTTTTTCCCACTTTCTATCTTGATATATACTGCCACTATGGCTATGCCACATCATGTCTAGAATAATTTATTATTATTGCTAATGCCATGATGAAATCACCATGCCGCTGATGCCGCAAAATATTATTAGTGACGTTTATTATTAATGTCGTTGAAACCTCCGTTAAAAAAATTACTGACGCATAATTAAACATCACAAAAATTAAAATGACGTTTACCAAACGCTGAACTAACTCTTATTTAATCAATGACTTCCTTTTAAAATTTTTGTGATAGGAACTATTTTACGACATTTATTTAAACGCCAGTAATTATTATTTTTGGGTCAACTGGTTTCCGCCGTTTATTTAACACCGGTAATGATAATTAAAAAAAAAAAAATCAACACTTTATTTCATATCTCAAACATATTATTTAATTCTGCCAGTACCAAAATTTATATTTTTGAGAGTCAAAAAACATTGATTCTGCACTCACCAAGTTATTGTCATTTCACAAGTGATCAAAGAATGAGTATCTAATTGCGTCTCACCTCTCAAGAGTAATGTAACAAAAATTAAAGAAGAAAGCAAAATAGCACGAACAAAAATAAAAAAAAAAAACAGAACAAGTTTCTCTTATGGGCTCTTACAGGCATAGATCAACATTGAGAATTCAACTTTCTCTGGCTCTGTCTGGATCACCCGCTCTTCCCACCACCACCTGCTATCCATTCCACTTCTTGTCCTGAACATGAACATTCCACTTCTCTCCCTCGTTGAACAATGACTTCTTGTCCTTCGTTGAATTCTTAATTGTATCCTCCTCCGTCAATATTATAGATTCTAATAACTTTGTTTTACTGTGTCAACAGTGATATAAAACATCTAGCGTGATTAAAATTTCTATTTTCCATTATCGCACCAACCATTATACGGCTGGGTTAAGTAAAGTAATTTCATGTTTATGGTACAAAACTTGACAGTAGATTGAGACATATTCACCTTCCCCAACTTCCCGGCTCGGCCCAAAAAAAAAAAAAAAACAAAACAAAAAAAAAAGAAGAAAAATCTGTTGGTGACGAAAAGTAAAGATTCAATTATACCATCATAATGCCTGTGGTGGTGAGATTACTAAAATCATATACAGGCAGTGCCACAAGAATAGCAGCAACAGAAAGAACGCCAGAGGATAAAATACCAAGATAAGAGAGAACCTCAGCAAACTTGATATTCCAATAACTCATGATGGGAAGCAGTGCAATCAAGACACAGAACAGTGATGAACACCATTATCAAGAATTGCTTTTTCTAAGACTTACAAGATGCTCACACTAAAACCCAAAGTCTTAAGAAAAGGAAACAAGAATAAATGAATAGCAAGATATAACTGACTGGACAGGTATCATATAACACTTAATAAACTCAAATCAACTCAATAAATAAAAACTTATCTCTATAATGCTTTGATTAGCTCCACAAATCCTTCTTGTCATTTGGCACTACCTAGGAGATCATCCTCCAATAAAATAGCAAGACAGACTTTCCCTCATATGGGCCTTAGCAATCAAGCAAAGAGAGATAAGCTTTTTACTTGGACCAACTTGTAACATTGTCCAAGTCCAAAGAAAAAAGAAGCTCCACATGCCAAAGCTTGGCATAGGCCTCTCGTGACTGGAATTTATTTTTTTTCTTGTCCAATTCTTAATATGGATGTAGCAACTCATTTGCTCACCAACCATGTTGGTCAGCACTCAAATAGTAAAGTTTCTCTAAGAAAATCAAGCAACCACAAGATCACAAACTAGAGAAAGCCAGACTAAATGACTAAAATTAGAAATCAGACATGCTTTCAAGTTACGGATACCGACTGTTTTCCTGATTAGCCAGTTACTATAAATTTAGAGCATCTCCTTCACCACGAACGGCTGTCCCCAATAACTAAATAATCACTATAGTAACCCAAGAAAGAGGATTCTCATTTAGTCAAAGATGGGAATGCAAATAACTAGATTTTATCAACCTGACTGAAAGAATGAAAGTGTCCATGTTGTCTATATTCTACGCACAGAACACAGTTAGGAATCTCCACCTCTAACAAGATTCAATATTGTATCATCTTTCTTCTTCTGGTAGTCCAATAAATCAAGTTAACTATATTAGTACACATTAAATGCCGAACAGAACTTGATAACACACAAAATACAAGAATGGAATATGCAAAGAATAACATATCACCACATTGGGGTTTGGGACAGACCTTTGGCGCATTGTGGCTGACAATTGGACAACTATAAGCAAACTGATTCACCCAATGGCTACAGTTCAACTGCTCTGTATGCTGCATACAGCCTACATTAGTGATTCAATTGCATATAGGCTATAGCCTAATTTCCTTGCATGCCACAACAGAGAATTAAAATATGGGAATGCATAAAACATCTCACTGACACATGTATAAGGTGAGATGGAAACTACCTGTTTTTGCTTTTGCCAAAGATGGCTGTACAACAGCATGCATGGTGAGAAGTCAGTCACCATCCAAGACAGCAAGGTTTGCAAAAAAATCTGCCATACAGTTTGTTTCCCTATAAACAAGAACCAAATTGAATTTCAGTCTGCTCAAAATTTCCAAAATTTGCCTCAGCAAAGTCCAGTACTTCCAGGCTCTCAAATGCCCTCATGGGACTCCACCTTCAAGTCTCGAAGCAGTGGAATAACATGCTGTGTAGCTGCACCAGATGTCCACAGCATCTAGAAATCCTTCAACACGTATATAAAATTATGCCATTAACATTTAAAGGTATAACTAACATGGAAAAAAAAAACTTTTAGGGTAAACCAAAACTCAGTAAAGGTCCAATTTGAGCTGTACATGAGATTCCCAATATCTCTTTCCTATTGGCAAGCTCTGCATCATCCCTTATTAAACACAATCCTGACAAATTGAACTCCAATTCGTAAATGTATGTAGCCAATCAAAAACGTCAAAGAACAAGACAGCAATTACTTGAAATCCAACCTTGAACTACCTGCTCGGTAGGGTGAAATAATATATCTTTTCTTATTTGTAAACAAGGGCAAAGGTAAACCTGATGTCATCACACTGGCAGTACACCCAGCACTGGCAGACATCGCAACAAGCCATAGGTGTAGATTCGGAATCTCTGTAAACCTGCAGAATTTGAGCCAAATCGATTGTCAACTTCTTTTGCAAAGATATTCATTACAATATTATCAAATTTTACACAGATAGATGATCACTCAATGATCCACTTTTTATTGAGCTAGAGTTTTCAGACAGTTAAAGTTTTACACTGCATTATTGGGGGGGCCCATTCATCTTTAAAACACCATCAACAGGAGGAGACCAACCAATCCATAAGCACCTCACTTGAATCCTCTCATGGGACTCTACCTTAAAGTCCCTCAAAATCTGCTGTCCAGCCAAAACTTCTGGAGCCTCAGGCTTAGCCCCAAAGGACTGCAATCTGAGCACAGTGCATATTCTCAAAATTCAAAAAATCTGAGCACAGTGCATTAATGTATGTAGCCAGTCTCTCACTCTGTTTTTTCCACATTATTGCAGGATCCCTCTGGTATGAGGAGAATACTATGCGATGAGAAGCTAAAAGAACTCTTTGATGTTGACACCTTCCATGGACTTACTGTTTCAAAACTATTAACCACTCATTTCATAAAAACAGAACAGTGAATTGCTGGTGCATTGTTATCGTGACTAAATATAACCATCAAATTCTCAATTATGCAAATAAAACACTAATAAATTGAATTTTCCACAACCACAAGTCTCGACCTTAGCTCTCAAGCTGTAATCCAGCATTAGAACCGTTAGATTAATAAATTATGCCCATAATCAAACAAACATCCAATCAAAATTGCAAAAGACGAAGAATCAAGATACGATGAATTCGTCAATCAAGGAATTAACCAGTCAATTAATTATACAGTTTCAAATTAAGATATAGTTTACGTACCACTGTTTTGATGACAGAAAGAAGACAATCAGAAATGTGTGCTCAGAGATTAGTTCACGGAATCTTCTAGAAGAGACAACCACAACAAATCCATAAAGAGAGGAACGGTGAGGAGTCAACGGAGAGAGGAGTCGAAGAAGAGAGAGGGGCACCGAATAAATTGCGGAAAAAGATTTACGTTTATGTTGGGGAGAGAAAAAAAAAGTTTTTTATTTATTTAAAGGGTTAATTATCGCTGTGGTTTCCAAAATATTCTTTTTGTCTTATTTTGGTCCCTAATCTTCTAATTGCATCAAGTTGGTCCCTCATGTATTACATATGCACTTGCCTCATTCCTGCCATTGACGCCGTCCCCAAAGCTGACGGTTCATAGTTATGTGCCATCCGCATGACCCTGGTGAGGGGCTTATATGACATTTACCCTCAAATAGCCATGCAACTGTTTTCCTTCTACAGTAGCACCAACATCACTACGAGCATTGAGCACCCCAACAAGAGTGAATTCACTAGGCCTCATCCCAGAAAAATGCATATCCGAGAACATTTTCAATGCCTTCTCACCATCGCCACTTTGTGTATACCCAATGATCATTGCAGACCACGTAATAGAGTTCTTCTCACTCGAAAGTTCAAACATTTGCAACGCGTTATCTAAGCTTCCACACTTTGCATACAAGGTAACGACAACATTTCCAACTGATACAACTGAAAACAACCCATTTTTCACAGCAAGACAATGAATTTGCTTACCAATATCAATAAATTTTGGCAAGGTAAAAGCACTAAGAACACTAGTTACCACAAACTCATTCACATCTTCCTTTTCCTCCCACGTCATCATCCTAAAAACCTCCAAAGTATAACCAGCAAATCAATGCATAGCATACCCAGAAATCATCGTAGCCCAAGAAACCGAATTTCTCTCGGGCATTCTATCAAACACTTTCCGCGCATCAACAACAAGGCCACATTTGCAATACGTGTTTAACAAAGAACTATTCACAAATACATCGGAACATCAAGTTGTTTTGATGGCAAGTGAATGAGCTTGCTGGCCACAAAATGGGTCCATCAAAATTGACGCTGCAGAAAAAAATCCGGCGAAAGTGTGGGCATCAGGGAAAGTATTCTCTTTTCTCATAAGCTTGAACAGTTTCATGACTGAGGATGAAGATTTGGGAGTCCCCAGCTGAGAGTAGCCATTGATGAGGCCGTTCCATGAGACTATGTCTTTAACTTCGATTTCTTCGAATACAAGGTGGGCTTCGGTTAAGTGGTGGGACTTGGCGTAGAAGTTGACGACGCTATTGAAGATGTATATGCAAGACGAAGATCCGGTCTTGATGATTTGAGCGTGGAGTGACTTTCCGTTTGGGAGGTTTTTCTGGTGGGTGTTTTGGAGGAGTTTGGCAAAGAAGGAACGAGTGGCTAGTGTCATCAACTCTACGAGTCCTTAGTTTCGGAGTTCATGAACGAGTCACAGCCAAGAACTTCCCAAAATTCAAACCTTGCAAGTAGAGGGAAGGAAACACGCGAATTTAGGGGAATTTTCCAATGCTCTGTAACAGACAATGGCTCAGCCAATTGGCGGGAATGTTTTCCCTGAGGAAAGGGGCGGAGGGTAAATGTCATATAAGCCCTCACCTAGGTCATGCAGATGACACGTGACTATAAACCGTCAAATTTGTGGACGGCGTCAATGGTTGAGAGTAGATAAATGCATGTGTAATACATGAGAGGTTAATTTGATGCAATTAAAAGGTTGAGAATCAAAATAAGATAAAAAGAATACTTTGAAGACCACAGTCGCAATTAACCCTATTTTAAATTAACAATCGTTAGTGGCGTATGCGAGAAATTGAATACAAAAAAAAAAAAATTCTTATTTTTTATTAAAAATTTTTAGCGTTTACGTTAAACGCCAGAAATTAAATGCCAAAAAAAAAATTCTTATTTTTTATTAATAATTTATGGCGTTTAAACACAAACGCCGGTGTTAGTGGCGTTTCCATTAAACACCGGCAATTAAATACTAAATTTTTCCATAATTCTTGTAGTGTTAATGCTTGTACAAAGAGTCCCATTGTAACTTACGATCATGTGGTTCGACGGAGTAAGACTATCGTTTAAGTATCATACCAAAAAAATTATAGTTTTTTAAGATAAGTATTGAAGTATAAGTTATAATCATAAAAAATGTGATTAATGAAAAAATGTGATGGTCGATCATAAAAGTTATAGTTTTTAAAAGTCAAATTATATCTTATAAGGCTGAAATTACAACTGAGACAAATAGAAATTATAATTAATTTGGGTTATTCATTTTTTTATTTTTTTAAAAGAAAGCGATAGGAGTTTTTATTGCGGAGAGATATTAGAGAGGAGGAAAGGCACTAAGAGATCAGGTGTCGTCTTCTCCCATACATCAATATTAGAAACAAACAATAGCGTTTCTTACTAACTTATGTGCTCCACAATTCACCAACGGACAATAGAAACATTAAAACATTGAAAATCTTGAGCTGTGATCTTGATATCATCTAAAATAGAACCCACTGGATCAAGTCTCTCCCTCCTCATCGAGATCATCTTCATAACCCATGAAAAATTCGGGTTATTCATGATCAACAAAATATTTTGTGATCGATCATAAATAACATTAAATAATTATAATTTCACTTTTACAGATATAATTTGACCATTTAAAATCATAATATTTAGTATGTTATCGAATGTTTTACTTGGTACTATAGTATTATCCGATTCAATGCACAAAAGCACAACAAATTAGATGACTCACAACTCACAAGTCTATCTTAAGAGAAAATATTCATTATAAGTTTATTTTGATCTCTATTGTCAAAACTACCCTCAATAGTTATATTTAATTAACATAAATTTGAAAACTAAAAACTCTTAAATTTTAAGAGTTTTATTAACATTAAAATTCTTTTTCTCGTATATATCTATATACATTTATAGATTATGACAATTTCTCTTATATATATCAGAGTCATTTTATATGACAGTTTAAATTTATTATTGATGTATATGTAGATCTATAAGTTATATGTTTTCATAGTAGTATTATGTTCTTCATTTTTGATTAGTGATTCTGTTATATAGTAATTTATCTATATTTTTTTTATTTAACTTTCATGATTCTTCATCCAAGTTGCATAGGAACTTTGGCTTGTTACCCAGTGTTGGAGTTTGACCCAAATCTTCAAAGTGTATTATTCCTTATTTATTTGATATTACTTTACAATCAGCATTTTAATGAGTTTAAGAATTTTTACTCATAAAGTATGCTGGTTAGCTTTGATGTAGTTTAATTAAAAGTATAATAGGATTGATGTTATTAGGATTTTAATAGGGTTAGATCTCTTTGATATTTAAAGTCTTTCCTTACAATTGCAATGAGTATGACAGAAGCTTAGACAAGCAGAATAGTTTTTTTTTTTTTTGTTTCGGACGTTGGCTTCAGCTGCTTTTCCGTGTCCTTTGCTTCCTTTTTTTTTTTTTTTTTCTTTTGCTTGATATTTTATCGATTTCTTGTTTTATTTTTTTTGAATCTTTGATTAAATTTTTTTAATTAAACCAAATAAAACTAAGTCTTATGTCCCAATCATTTATGGTTGACCATTTGAGTCCGCCTTCACCATTTTATTTCGATCATGCACTATACACTTATTTTAATTAAATATTTTCATATCTTTTCTTATTATTTTGTTCAATGTTAATTTAGGTTTATCCCTATTTCTAGTACCATTAAGAGAGATTATCTAACTTTTTCGAATTGGGGCCTCTATTGAGCATGACCAAACCATTTTAATCTATTTTCTCTAACTTATCCTCAATTGGAACAACTCCTACCATTTTTCTAATGCGGTCATTTCTTATTCTATCTTCTCTAATTTTTTCAGACATCCACCTTAACATTCTTATTTCTGCTATACTCATTTTGTCACTATGTTGTTTTCTAGTTGTCCAATATTCTGTCACATACAACATTACTGTCCTTATAGTTGTTCGATAAAACCTATCTTTTAATTTTATTGGTATCCTCCTATCACATAATATGTCAGAGGCTTTCCTCCACTTAAGTCAACCGACGTTGATTCTATGAGTCTCATCATCTCCAATCTCTCCATCATTTTTAATGATTGATCCTGAATATCTAAATTGTTTACTCGTTGGTATTTTTTGATTTTCAATCATAACTTTTTCAAGATCATCTGCTTCTTTTATTACTAAAATTGTATTGCATATATTCAGTCTTACTGTTACTTATTTTAAACTCTTTTGACTTGAGTGTCTCTCTCTAAAATTTTAATTTATTGTTAATCCCCCTTCGAGTGTCATCTATTAATATAATATCATCTACAAATAACATACACTATGAGAAATCATCATGAATGTGCCTAGTGAGTTCATCCATAATTAGTGTGAATAAGTATGGACTTAGTGCCGATCTTTGGTGTAATCCCACCATAATTGAAAATTCTTTACTTTCTCCCACAAAAGACTTAATTGTAGTCATAACCCCTTCATACATGTCATTTATCACCTTAATATACTTACTCGTCACTCATTTTCTCTCAAGCACCCTCCATATTATATTTCTAGGTACTTTATCGTACGCCTTTTCTAGATTCATAAATAACATATGAAAATTTTTCTTCTTCTCTCTATACTTTTCTATGAGTGTCCTTAATAAATATATAGCCTCCATATTTGATCTACCCGGCATAAACCCAAACTAATTTTCTGACACTATAGTCTCAACTCTTGGGCACCGTTCAATAACCCTTTCCCATAATTTTATGGTATGACTCATCAATTTTATCTCTCTATAATTATTACAATTTTGAATATCTCATTTATTTTTATAGAGAGGTACTAAAATACTCTTTCTTCATTCATCGGACATTTTCTAGTAGCAATAATTCTATTGAATTTCGTTAACCGCGACACCCCCTCATTCTCTAAGCACTACTAAACCTCAATGGGAATCTCATTCGATCCTAAAGCCTTGCATAATTTCGTTTTCTTCAATGCAAACTCTACCTCAAAATTCTATATTCTACAAAAAAAAGTTTCATGGATCCTACCATTTTTTATCTCTTCTAGGTTTCCTAAATGATTTTCGTTTAATAGTTTTTCAAAATAGTCTTTTCATTGATCATTTATTTCCTGATCTTTAACTAAAATCTTTGAATCATTACCCTTGATGCACTTAACTTGGTTAAAGTCTCTTGTTTTCCTTTCCCTAATTTTAGCTAGATTGTTGATGTCTTTTTCTTCCTCTTTACTATCTAGTTTTTTGTACAACTCGTCGTAGGCTTTTAACTTAGCGTCTCTAACTATATTTTTAACCTTCTTCTTAGCTAATTTATATCTTTAGAATTTCTCTCTATTCCTATCATTTTTCCATCTCTTAAAGGATTATTTCTTTACTTTAACTACCTCTTGTACGTTGTCATTCCACCACCAAGTTTCTTTTCTCACAAGCCCTTTATCCTTTGACTCCCCAAGAATCTATCTCGAAAATTTTCTAATGTCTAGTATTAGAGCCATATTTCAGAGATGGCAAACAGGAACTAGTTTGTTCAATGCCCAATTGAAAAATATGACGGGAGGTCAAGTTTTCAACATTGTCTAACACATATGAAATTGTTTTTCATGGTCCTGGATTTTTCAGATATTGTGATAAACGGGTACACAGATCCCGGAGATTTAACAACTCACACAAAAGCTCAAAAGGATGAATTCAGAAGTAATCGGAAGAAAGACAACAGAGCATTAATGAACATCTATAGGGCAATTGATTCGTCAATGTATGACAAGATTGCTCATGTTTCGATGGCAAAGGCGGCCTAGGATGTCTTGATCAATTGTTATATTGGACAAGATAGAGTAAAAAAAGGTTCGGTTACAGACCCTATGCAGGCAATTCAATCTTCTTCAGATGAAAAAATCAGATAGTATATATAATTATTTTTCGCAGATGTTGATTATTGTCAATGAGATGAGAGCCAACGACGAGAATTTGAAGGATCTCCAGGTTATGGAGAAAATTCTTCAGACTTTGTCAAAGAGGTTCGAGTATATTGTCACAACAATTATGGAGTCAAATGATCTTGAAAGTGAGATTTGCTCGATGTTTTGGCGAATTTGTTGTTTGTTTGTTTTTTTCTTGTCCTATGTGTGTTTGAATATATGTGTATCAATGATCAGGTGCCAGTGAGAATACTGGTGGTGCTGAAAAACACCGTTTTCGTGATCTCAAAGGTACATTTAACATCGATCCATTTAAACATTGCAGACTCAAACGAGTTTCAAGACAAAGAAAGATGAGTCCCATAATAAATCTCAATCAAATTAGAAGTATCAGCATTCAAAAAACCTAGATACATGGCCGAAAAGATCTGGTTG